CCCACCCCAGGGGAGGACATCCATCACACAGTAATCTCGTGTGTGGGAAATTAACGTCTCCTACCCCAACCCTGCAGGAGACGGGACCTCCATTTATTCGTCCCTATCCGAGAAGACTAGAATATCTAACCATTTCTTGATGTTATAGAAAGGTAGCAAATTCTTCTCAATTATTTTAAGACCCTGAGTGACAGGATTTTCAATAATTTTTTCATGAGCGGCTGCCAACGATTTAAAGGCGGCTGTACCCGGAAAAGAAGCTGTGATGCGAAATCCAAACACGAAGGGCTGCTTGCTGGCAAAACAGACAGCGATAATAGGTTTTTCAGGCGCCGGTAGATTGCTAGTCTCCCTCGCAGCCGGTTTTTTTTCGGATGTCACGCAACGCTCCCCCAAAAGAACATTTGGGGGAGCGTTGCGTGACATCCAAAAAAAACCGGCTGCAAGGGAGACTAGTAGATTGCTGGTAAACGGCCTTTTTTGAAACCCTGTCTTTAGGACATACACAGGTTGCGAAATCGAAGTAGGTGTGACAAGCTCTTTCCGGTGGTTTCTAAGTGTAGTTAGATCTCGGAGTTCACAAATAAGAACGCCCCCAGTTTTTTTTTTTTTTTTTCCGTCTAGACCTAAATGCACAAACGTAGCAAAGAAGCTACGAGCTTGACTGACCTTAGTTCCCTGTTTATCAAATGAAACCAAACTTATGCAAGAGACAATACCAAAATGCTTAAACTAATTTTCTGCTTTATTTGAATAAGCAGCGTTACTATACTGGTCCGCCTGTGTTTATTCAAGACACCCAATTTAATTAGTTTACTACAGATAAGCCATTTTATTTTTGACTGCTAAGCCCAAAATTGACTCTTGCGTGAGTAGAGCCGCGGTAGATAAAAAAAAAAAAATGCCAATAATTGGATAAACTAAAAGGTGATGTCTACTTACAACGCAAATTAACGTCCTTTCGATTCCATAGATGTCTACTTTAATTTCCGTGAAATGCTTGCGAACCACTCATTATCACGAGAAAGTTCAAACGAAGACGTTAATTGCTATAAAAGATTTTGTGCCCGGCTAGATTCGTCAACAAAAACACTAGATGAGTTGTTGTTTGTGGACTGGCTCCAAAGTTTTTCCTTGTGATATACTTACGAACCATAAGTTATCATCAGAAAGTTCGAGCCATGACGTCAATTAGAGCAGTACTTAACTATAAGTTGTCAACAGAAAGTTCGAGCAGTGACGTCGTTGGAGCAAAAATAACATTCTATTGATCTCAAGTAACACAAAATTAAATATCCTTGCGACTACTGAGGAACCAGGTTTTGTAGTGCCTGCCGTTACGCTATGTAAATTTACCGCAGTTCAATCAGGGAAATCCGACTCTGTTTCACAGTATTCTTCGAGAAAACTTAAATGATATCCGTTTCGTTCAAATTCTACGCCAGGGGGGTTTCCTTTCTATCAACAAGTGCAACAGTATATGTTGATATGCTCCTGACAAGAGCCAATACAAAAGATTTTACGATTTTATGCCTTGTTGACCAAGTGAGTTACATGCTATTCAAATCGATGGCGTTGCCAAGGGCTTTCTGTATATAAGCCTTAAAATCGGTGATGATTTCCGATTAAGTTGTCAAAACAAAACGTCGGGCTTTGTTCATTAACAACAGCCATTCCATTCGCCTCAACAGAAAGATTTAAATTGAGGCGGGCTCTCCATTAATGGAAGCAATCGAGGAAATTGACTAGGGAAATAATTTCCTAATATCCTAGGGAAACGCCGTTTTTGGCTTGCCTCACTTGTTTTTCGATCGTTTCCGCTAAGTAAGGGCGGAATACTTTTTAAGTGACTTGAAAGTCAGATAGCTGCCCCGGATATTTATGAAACTGAATTAATTGAGCGAAACAGGAGAAAAGTGGCATGACATGGTTTGGAGAAAAGTGGCATGACATGGTTTGGAGAAAAGTGGCATGACATGGTTTGCTTACGGGATTAATTAGAGAATCGAACTTATAAGTGACACCATGGTGTCGCAGACACGACGTTTAATGTAATCTCTTTGGTGTAGTTGGCAGATCGTAAACCTTATATAATCTGCAGATATTGAAGGAATTAATTATACATTATTTAACAACATAATATTCAAAGTCGTACGAAGTTTAACATTGGTCACTGAATGAACCCCCACCCCACCCCATTGCCCAGGTGCCTTTGTAAAAACCCAAAAAGACTGATTCAAGCTTTTGAATTCGCTTCCAGAAGGAGAAAGTTCTGCAGATACAAACACCACCAACGCAAATGAGTGAGTCGTACTTAGTTATGAAGTCTTCTATTTTGTCTCACAATGTTACATGATAAATATCATTTCCATCTTCCACTTCATACCGCTGACCTCGAGCAGACGATGAGGTCGACCGTGGTTACGTGCCACGAGTTATGAGGCGCCATACTCCGCTGCGATTAACTCGTTTCCAAGAGCTGTTATTTAGTGCATTTCGTAGGTGTGTTCTCTGGTTTCAGCTGTTGACGATCAACTAATCAATAATTTTAGGTTTTTATATTTTAATAGTTTTTCCTATTTAGTAATGCTAACGTAAGTTTTTCTTTTCTCATATACTGTAATCAGTTCTCAATCGTGAACATTAATATTAATTCTTTTAAAATTTTTAAATGATTAGGTATATGGTTTCAAATTGTAAATAACTGCTATCAAAGTGCAGTATAATACTTCAAAAAGCAACGTCAGACGAAGATATTTAAGCATTGTGTAATCGAAGAGAAAAGTACAAATCGTTTCTGCAATTAACCAAAATGAAGTCTTAAAGACTTAATTTCACAGTATATATAGGAATAAGCGATCAATATATTAGGTTGTGGTTGCACATCAAGGCCTTATCCACTGTGCTAGACGAGAGAAATCCTCTTTTAGCCCGAAATATTACCCTATCGAAAATGATACTTTTCAGAAACGTTCTGTTGTTATTCTACTCGACCGCCTCCCAGTCAGCTCAATGGATAGACCGCTGGACTGTTATGCGGGAGGTCGAGGGTTCGAACCCCGGCCGAACCAACACTCAAGGTCTTAAAATAATTGAGAAGAATATTCTTCCTTTCTATAACATCAAGAAACGGTTAGATATTCTAGTCTTCTCGGATAGGGACGAATAATTTTCCACGCATGAGGTTTCCTACATTAATTTCCCACGCATGAGGCACAAAAAGATACCTCAAACCTCCTACCTCGGCGTCCGCTCCTTGCTCGCAGCGCGCTTGCCTTCACCCGCGTGAAAAACGAAGAAGACAAAAGCACGCTTGTTCTGCAGGCTGAAAAGCAGATCATAGATGAATGTTGAGACAAAAAGTCTTTTTTTACAATTGTCATGCATTCTAGTCTGACACAAAGACACTGCTTCAATGTAGAAAACGCTTTGCTCTTCACATTTTTCATGCGCACGCCCAGGAATATATCGAGCTTTCCTGCTGTTAGTCGCCGGAAGTTATTGTTAAGTTTTCAGATTTATCCACCTCCAGAATTTTGAGGGTAGAAATTACATCCCAAATTTATCCAACGTAGCACACAAGTGCACAAGTTTTTGGCTTTCTTTAAGAACCAATAACGCTTAATACCCTCTTTACAGATGTGTTCCCGCGGCGGCGGGTATTGGGAGCAAGCAGTCAGCAGCCTTCGATGGGCCACTTTGTAGACCCTACCAACGTTTGTTTCCGAACGGTTACTGCAAACACATTCTTGGTTATCAAAACGTCTACGCAAGAGATTTTTCCGAGAATGAACAAAAACTGTTACAATATCAGATAGCGAAGAACTTTGTTTTGCGGACTCGAAATTCAACTGGCAACATTAAGGGACAAAAATACATCGACAACTCTTACAATGTACGTCAGAGCTGTCTGGATCTAGTGGACGATGTGTACTGCCATCACTACTTTAAACGTTGCTTCATGGATTCTAGTCCTCCATTTGTGTGCAAAGAAGCGTGCACGCATATGTTTTATCACGATTGTGATCGAGAATTTAAGATTGTGAAAACGTTCATGGAGGAAAGAAAGAATACATTTTACCCGTTCTACTTTGATATCATAAATTGTACGCGGCTGCCATCAAGGAACGAGTCTTCGCAGTGCTACGCTCCTGACAAGATACGAGGTGAGTGAGGGGTCGTTGAATTAAACGTAATTTAAAAAGGACAGCACACGCAGTGCACCTTGTAATCACGAGAAAGTTTCGTTTCAAAGAATGAATATAAACCTTACCGATGAATACTTTTTATTTTTCCCTCCTTGTGGTCAGATAAATTGGACGTGTTAGAGAGTGAAGGTAAGTCCCATCTTGAACTATCTAACAATTGGAGTATCATTATCTCGCACAAAAATCGAATTATTATTGTTATCATCATCAATCTACGTATTGTTCAAAACAGCACCATAGAGGCTCATTTTTATATCTTTGTGTTGTTTACAACTGCACACTGTTAAGCGTCTTAAGGAACAGAGCAGAACACAGGCAGCCCAAGCTCACGTCCGCTTTTCTAGCAGTGAGCTTGGGCTGCCTGTGAGCAGAACAGAACACTGGATAATGACCCGAACTTTTCCGTGTCATGTCTACCTTTTTTTATCGCACCTGAAACGGAGTTCTCCATGTTTTTACCCGTTTTGCAGATTGCTACTATGGTGATGGACGCGGCTACCGTGGTAACAAAAGCGTCACAGCATCTGGGTTTTCATGTCAGTCGTGGAATTCTCAATGTCCCCACAAACACGATATTCATGGACATGTTTACCAAGCGATAAATGACAGTAGAAATTTCTGTCGCAATCCAGAAGGACTTGCCAAAGGTGGGCCGTGGTGTTTCACAACCAACAGGACCGTGCGATGGGAGTTTTGTAATGTGCCTAAATGCCCCAAACGACGTAAGTATAACGAGACGACATATGTGTATCAAAACGGCAGTGGGACGTTGCTAGTGCACTAAGACGACGTAAAGTAATAAAACGACATAATTTCAGTTAAACGACGGGGTGTGCTGAGACCACGTAGCATATCATCAGGAGACAACCAAATGTAGGTAGACAACGTAAGTGTACGAACACGACGAGATGACAAAGTGCACTGAGATGACGCGATCACGTTGGAGATTTCTCACAGATGTCTTCTCCCTTGACCCAAGCGAGTGACAGATGCTTTTTACAATAATAATAATAATAATAATAATAATAATAATAATAATTTAATGACTTATATTGCGCAATTATCAATAAAAGAATTTTCAATTACGCATTACAATTAAATGTTAAAAATTCAACTCTGCATAGATACTAAAAACTTAAACTGTTCACTCAGAAGATGTAGAAATATAAATATTACATGCAAAGAATTTAAAAGCTTTTGCAATAAAAAGTCTTAATGGCTTTCTTAAACTTGTTTAAAGATTGGGTATATCTGATAGAGCCTGGAAGATCATTCCATAGTTTAGGTAGGGGCTCTTACATGGAAAGAACGATCGCCGAGCGTGGTGAGTGTTTTGCCCTTTCAAGGAACAAGGGGTATGCTGTCATTAACATTTGAACGATCGAGTTAATTATGAGCCGTGATTCTTACTCCATCCCAACACATCATTTGAGTCGACATTGGTAATCCTAGCAGTATACATAAAGCTTGTCACTTAGTATTGAAACTGGCCTCGTACAACATTGAACTCTTTGTGGTTCAGTTCTTGGAGCGCCAGAAATAAAGTCGGTCTCGATCGGCAGGGCTCTCTCCCCTTTCCCACTCCACCTCACGGGAACTAAGTCCTTACTGGGTCCGGCAAACACTCGTGCCGAAGAATCTTTTTGACATATTTTTTAATTTTTTTGAAGCACCTTCAAGCCCACCAGTTGACTTTCATGGTCACAACGTGAGTTCAACAAGCATTTATGTTAGATGGGGAGATGTTCCAAAGCCCTCTGCAAATGGGATACTTCTTGGATATTACGCCACCTGTAAGGCTGTAAAATCCTCGGAGAATTATTCCGCGGAGTTCTTGCCTGAAGAACATCGCTGGGAACTGAAAGGTCTCAAAACCTTTGCTAATTATAGATGCTGGATAAGAGCGTACAACAATTACGGAAATGGCAGTTGGAGTGAGGGATTGGTCATTTCAACCGATGAAGCTGGTATGTTACTATCAGGAAACCATGATGTGATTATTTATTGATGAGTTGGGAGCTTGTAATGTTAACAATCTTCAGTTGAGAGTCGAAAGAACTATGAGTTTCTCTGTTTTTTGTTTCTTTCCTTTACTGTGTGACTAGTTCTGGCAAATCGTGCCATATTCGCAACCACTCTTTCTCAAAACTATAATCAGGAGCGTAATTAGCCAATAGGCCCCGTAGACCCGGGCCTTTAATTTATTGTCCACCGGCTTGACTTTTTTAAATACGACTCTCGCAAATGTTGACCAAAAATTGAACTTTCTCAGGTCGGGAAAAGGCCTACAACAAGTTGAAAAGCTGGCTACACGCCTGATAACCAGTAACCAGTCAATTTACTTGTTCAAGCCGGTTGCTTTGAGTTCACTGTAGTTGATCCTTTCTGATATTTTTCTTATCTTTGTCAATGTGATTACTGAGTTGGTTTTAGATTCACGACCCTTAGTCGAAACGTGCTGTAGCCAAAACATTAACCCAAGGATAAGAGCAAAGAATAATCTTTAAGATTAATCTTATTTGTTTTAAGATAGTCAACAATTTAGCTCCTGATTATTTGGTTGACCAAATTCATGTTTATGAACCTACGAGGTACCTTCGCTCATCTTCAGACAAGTGGCGTCTTATTATCAAACCCTATAACTTAAAGACATATGGTTTAAGGTCTTTCTTAGTTATTGCCCCTATACTTTGGAACGATTTGCCTATTGACATTAGATCAATCCATGATGTAAATAAGTTCAAATCTAAATTGAAGACCTTTCCTTTTAAGCGAGTTTATGAACTATCTTAGGTTCTCCATTTTATAATTTTGTTATTATGTATATATGATATGTATATGATTTTAGTCCTTTTTGAAGCATTGTAAAGCGCTTAGCACTGAAAAGTATAGGCACTATATAAATATTTTTATTATTTTATTAAGGATTTAATTGCTATGATAAGTAAGCATCCTGAGTCGCTTAAGGAGATTCCTTAGTATGGCAATGCGCAACCACCCTATATTCGCATAACATTACCCATAACTCTTTGCAAATAAGTGTACGTACCAACGACTTTTCTTTTCTCAGTCAATATGGACGAGCTTAACACAAGTGCAGTGGTCTTTGCCCCTAAAGGAGCGCGTTCACCAACATCTTTTCATTACATTTTTCGAAGCAGTAGTGAGGAACAATGAAGGAAAGTTTTGATACTAGCCATTACGTATTAAAGAGTTAATCCTTTAATCGGCCTCAATACCTTGTTGTGTTATCATTACACAGTACCTACAGCTCCCCCAGATCATCTAAGAGCCAGGAATCTTAGTTCTACCAGTCTTCAGGTCCAGTGGGACCCAATCCCTCTTGGGTCTCGGCATGGAAAAGTACTTCAATATAAAGTGAAAGTACACCAATATGGGCTGGCAGGACGGCGACACCTTATTACAAGAAAAACAAAGGAAAGGTCACTCACACTTTACAAACTTAAGAAATACATGAAGTATGTGATTGTAGTGTCGGGGATGACAAGAAAAGGTGATGGACCCGCTGTTGAGTCTGTAGTGCAAACTGATGAAGATGGTAAGGAAAACACAAAAATTACACTCACACACATAAAACAACTAGCAAATCATATTTACTATAGTTTGATAAAGATGATAAAAGTCCCACCTGCACTGACGCGTTTTCGTTGTACCAATTCAAGCCGAACGGGCACTTTCATAAAACGTTTCGAAAGTTGAATCTTTCGAAAACGTATCGTTTTGAAACAAAAGCGATTCCAGTGTGAACAGTGGAAAACGAATTGTTTTGAAAATTGTACAGTAGAAAGCGTTTATCAGTTTCGCTTCCATTAGCGTATCCAGATGCATGAAAAAATAGAGATTCCCGAGAGGAAAATGCATTCGTGTTGAAAAATGAAAACTACCAACGGAAGTGTTAGCGAGGGTTGGCAAAAATATTTTGCCTAGTTCAGCTTGAGACGAAAACGGAAACTTTTAAAAACACAGTACTTTGGCCAGGGCCTGAGAACTATGGATTCTCCAGTAGAAGGGTCCTGTACAAGTATCTTGAAAAAATTTGAGATCCTGTTGGGCTGTTTCATCATTGCCAGGAACAGCTCTTGCGTGAAAAATAAGGAGAGAGGGGGCTGTGCCGCTGTGGTCCTTCCGATTTATGTTGGGTACTTTAGCAGCGGATCATAGAGAGAACATGGCTACAAAAGCAGTAGACTAAGTTCTCAAATGAGAAGTGTTCTTAAGACTACTAGAAACTGCAATGAATGACAAACAGTGTTCATCTTTTCCAGTACCAGATCGCCCTCCATCAGACATAACCGTTTTAAGCGTGAGCACTAATGTGGTTAAAGTCATATGGGGCCCAGTTCTTCAGGAATATACCAATGGAGAAATACGTGGATACAGAGTACTCTACAACGATACGTCAGTTTCCAAAAATGCATCAGTTTCATCCAATCAAACATCTGTAGAGGTCTATGGACTAAAAGCGAACACGAAGTACAGTTTCCATGTCCTTGCATTTACAGCAAAAGGTGATGGAGCCAAAAGTGCGGCGTTCTCGGCCAAAACTTTGTCAGGCATGTAGTAGATCACATGTTAACTTGTTACCGGTCAATTAACTGACTTTTTCCTAATTGAATTGTTGAATTACTGATTAATCCAACCTCGTTCCCAGGGCCTTTTCCCTTAGTTCCCTTTTCCCGCCCCATCCCCAACTACTGGGAAAAGGCCCTGGGAGCGAGGTTGTGATGGATCGATTATTTAGTGACTGACCTACTGACGGCCGACTGTCTGACTATACGAACGGTTGGACGCACGGACGTAGATTAGTGTCTTAATGGGATGGTATCTCTGACGGTTGATAGTTAAAAATGGGCCTTCTTGATGGTGGATGGTAAAATATGAAGGCCATTTTACGTTTGGCAGTAAATTTTTCGGAATAGGAGTTTATTTATTGTTATCAAGGCTTTGAATAAGCCAATATATTTTGCCAAAATTTCTTTAAAATCAAATCGAAATGATAGCCCAAAAGCTGTCTTCAAGAACTAGTTAAAAAGCATAGAGATGTAAGGACTCCTCTTGCAAAAACATCCGGTAAATGCTGAACCTGATTGTTTAAAGCTAGCGTACATAAACTCCGTTTTCGTCTTTATTGGGAATATCTGAGAGATTTGACGGCTAATTTTGGTTGGCCTTCTTCACAGTTAACGGAAATCGAGCAGTTATGACGGCTGACGATAAATATTTTGGTCAGTTGAGTGTTAGTGGTCAACCCCTCTGAGGCCCTCATGGCCGGATAGACTGACTGTCCTCTCTACATCTTTTAAAAATACTGTGACAATCACTTTGGATTTTCATTCGAAAAGGTTCCAGAGAAAGTTGCCAACCCATCGATCCTTGGTGGTAAATCTATCAAGTTTTTAAGGGGTATTTTCTTACTACTGAAGAGGCCGCAGTAGAATTTACACGCTCAGTAAACAATAGGACATTAATTATAACTTTCCTACAGACTTTGAATGTCATTTGTTCTCTCCAAGACGTTATTATCTGCGGTAAAAATACATTAGATTTTGTCTCCCAGTGGTCCGTATGGCCAGCGTATGGAGGAAGGGAAGGGGGGAGGGAACGTTTATAAGAGCCCGAAACGGGATCGTCATCATCGTAAACTCCCTCAGTCTTACAGCTATGTATGCCAGCTACGCAAGTCATTCTTCACAGCTAATAAAGGCTGAAAGTTTCTAAAGAAACTGTGGTGCTGCGTCGGTGTTAGCCCTTCGTCATCGCTCTGACGAAGGGCTAACACTCGAAACGTCAGCTTTTTTATTCGTTACGGTGGCCAATTTACAATTTCAACTTAGTTGATATAACCAATTCTTACAGTTTGAATAAAAGTTGTATTTATAAGCTCACATTTAATCAAATTCCATCTTCTTTCTTACACAACAGAGAAACCCACCACTGGCCCAAGCTCCAGACTATCACATGGTTCAAACGGTAATAGAGAAACTACTGCATATATAACTTTACTTCCGCTTACTGTTAGACGTTGATAACGTTATCTTATTTGCAACTGAATTTCTTTCGTTAGTCATTTCAATTTTGATCCATGTATCGATCTAGTTGATAAAGGACAGTACAGCAAAATATAAATACATAAAGAGCGGTTTTGGATTGAGTGTCGAAAGCGATCGAGAACTGCTTTGGTACTCACTACACTTGGTGACTGAGTCTAAGACAGGCTTCAACTGATGATATAAAAAAAAATTTCAAACAAATCGCGAAATTAAATGGGCGCATTTTCATTTGTCCGGTGCCGTTAACGCGGTTCTACTCTGAGCTCTCATTGGCTCTTTGTAAATTTTTTCGTAATTCTGACAGGCATTAGTTTCTGAACCAATCAAAAGGTGCAGTTAAACACAATCTAGACGTTTCACACTCAATTAAAAATTCCTCTGAGAAGAGTAACTGATTTAGATGTAATCGTAAAATAACTACCGTGTCTCCTGTGCGGTTTTTACAGTGGATATCATTGTGAGTGCTGTGTTTTCTGGATCCATTGCTTTTGGAGCAGTTTTTGTATTGGTGTACTTTTTCCGAAAGAGGAGGATGGCAGCATTAACTAACGACAGTGAACACGGTAGGTTCAATTCTCGTTGCCATGTTCCCACCAATAACGTAGCTCCATTTTCTGCCTTTAAAAGCACACACAATCCACAATTCCTCTATTCGCTCCGACGAAGGGCTAACGCTCGAAACGTCAACTTTTGTAATCGTTACGGTGGCCAATTTACCATTTCAACTTTGTTGATATATCCAAATTATTTCGTTACCCCCACCGACGCAGCCCCAAACGGTTTCTTTAGAAACTATCAGCCTTTTGATCAGTGATTCTACAGGCACGAATGAGTTTTTTGGCTCTTAGGAACCAGTCATTATTTATCCTCGGGAGGGAGGGGGTGGAGAATTTTCGGGGAATCATATGGTTTACAGGGGAACGGAGAGGGATCAATTGTCGCCAACAGAGGAGGGTTCCTAAGATTATCGCAGAACCTAATTTGGAGGGGGGGGGGGAATCAGGTAAATTTTGTCGTGACAAAGATCTTCCATCCCTCCTTTTCCCCCAACCCCTTCCGATAAATAATCACCGCTTCCTTGGTTTCTAGGGGCGTGGCTAAAGGTGAACCTAGGTGACAAGTAATCTTCAGTGTCCGCTGAAAAAAATGATAATTTATAGCACGCCAAGGCATGCTATCTAACGCTAGTAAAGTGATTATTATGGTCTCCTCTTTTGGAAAATATTACAGCAAAAGCTCCTTGTTTCCACGAGACAATTAATACTTAAACATCACAAAAAAAAAGCTAGACGAAAGTGAATTGTACATCTTTGCCTATAGCTGTTCACCTGAGAATTTGATTTGGCACTCAAAGCCCAAGTTTCGAAGTTGTGTAAAAGTGAGCACAGTGAAAATATTCAACTGTACCCAAATAGAGATCGCCATGTCTAAAAACATACGTCTCATGTTGCGATGTTTTTGAGTCACTCCTTACGTCATAAAAGATTTGTCTCTTGCCCCTATTACCAGAAGTGACCGCTAGGTAACTAAGTTATTCTTCCAATGTGAAAACATTGTTCAGCACAAAGGTGACGAGAAGAAACACGTAAAAACACACGTGATCAATCCCCAATGGTTTTAGAGTTGAATCTGATTGGTTGAGACGATGGCGTTAATTATATGGACCAATCACAGAGCGAAGTGAGGAAAGAAACCAATCGCGCAAACTCTTGCCCCTAATACCCTCTAAAATTGTGGTGTCGAAATACACTAGAAACGGAACGAGAATGATTTGGGACAGAGGAGATCAACATTGATTTTTAATGACAAACATGAGATGTACAAGCTGTTACGAGGCTCTTTTAAACACACACGCTTCGTGAGTGACACCATTACTTCGTAGGACTGTTACTGAAAATGTTTGTTTTTGCTCTTGCTTGCCTTATTAGGTATCGGTTGTCAAGTGACACCTTATGCTGTCTCCTCCGTAAATTGGTTAGAAAACGTCAGCAACACCCAGGTACATGGATATGAGACGATAGATGACGATAACGTCCCTTGCAGAAATGGCCAACCACGTTACATCAACATCAATCCTGATGGCTCCCTCAACCTTCCACCACACTTACGGGAAATTGTTATCCACTTCGAGAAACTCTACGAGAACACAAGCTACAAGCAGCTACGACGGTTTGGAAGGCGACGATCACTTGGAGGAGCAGAGGATCAGAGTGGAAACCCCATGTACGACAAGCTTCAACGAGAGATTTCCTTAACTTCCTCAGACCAGGGTGGAGGTTGCAGACAACAGGTGCAGGCCATATTACATGTAACTCCGGCAAAGCAACACAGGGAAAAGCATTCGATAGATTTGGGTGAGTTACGTCGTGTTGCTAAGGATCTTCAAAGTGACATGGAGGTGACAGAAGTGGTTTCGAATAAAAGCCAAAAGCGACGGCGCCGTTTCTCTGTAGATCTGGGTGAGGTACGAGGGTTCATTGCTCTCACAGAGATCTGCAGCTCCGCTGAAGAACGGCATGACGCTTCACCTTACCTCCCGAAAATAGAACTAACAAACGGCAAGGAAGCGCTGTGTTAGCTGTTTGAAACTGGGCAGACAATCTCACTAAGTCACAAAGATCACTTTCTGTAAGACAAACTTCTCCAAATTGGCGACTGAAAAATTTAAAAAAAGGCAGAAAAAACAATGTTATCAAGCTGGGGTGCAAAAACAATTCCTATGCGTTTAAACCTGAGTGTTTGCGGTCTCAGTTTAGCACCAAACCTGTCTATTTTTTTGTCGTGGTAAAGTCGCCTAGCCGTTTTAAGTACACGGGCTAAAAAAATTTTTTTTCTTTCCTTCATTACAACACAACTTTCGCTTCATGTTAGCATTGGCGTGATATTTTTAATAGTCTATGTTTCAAACTTTTCTTCAAGATAAATCTTCAATTTCAGTCGCCATTTGGGTAAAGTATCGTAGTCGGCAATGTTTAAAGTGAAAAATGAGGCGCAGTTCAAGGGGTTTATAAATAGGATTGTAAGTAATTAGCAACTTACTGTAAGAGGATAATGCATTGCACGTAAGTGACTTGTACAGTTTGAATCCTGAGTCAGTTTGTTGTTACATTGATTCGTACCTACTTGACCGAAGCCATGCTTTAGAAATTATCCCGCGGTTGCAGAAAGTCACAACTGCATTCCGGGGTTTTCGATTTTTGAGTGTTTAGCGGTGGTTTTCAGAGTTAAGAGTTGGTGGTTGGATGCCACGGTAGGAAAAAAAATGCATGTATACTCTCCTTTTCGAGGAGAACGGGAAAATCGAGAGCATTTAGAGAAAATTTCACTTTGGTAAGTGAAAATGACTTCTTAGAAGGAAGTCTATTCATAAGCTATTCTGTAGGAGAAACATTTTACTTTTCTCGCAGTAAGTTACAGTTTTCATATCACACGGGTTATTTCACGAAAAGCAAACGGTTCAGAAAGCTAAGTAGGCTGTTTCTTAGTCGGCAGCTGGCTCTTAGTAAAAACCCTGAGTATTCATCTGCACTCATATGATTGCGATTTTGTTCCTATGTGCAGTTGATTGCCGGAATGCGTAATTAACGACTGTCTGTTAGCCTTTCGTAGTCAACACTTGTATTAATTTTTGCTGATTTAAAGGAATATTAGGCTTGGTAAAAAAAGTTTGATTGCACGAAATATTTATGCAAATGTATTTATTCCATAAAAACTAATAATCAACCGAACTTACGTGAAGCGCGATTAGCGGGCACGCGCTTTGAAACTTCGTAAGCAAGTTACGCGCACGATTTTCGTGTGTGCGAGTCTTAGTTTAGAGTATTTGAGTCGCAATTTTCGAGGTTGTTGGTTTTATTTCTGAGTTACTGTGTTACCGTTTCACCGTTTTCACTGGAATTAATGTGCCTGCTTTTAGCGAGATTTCCGTTTCCGCTTCCGAACACAACCTCTTAACAAAGGTGACGTGTTTATTATTTAACAGACTTGTTTTTCGGTTAGAACCAAAATCATTGTCATTGAAAGAGAAGCATGCTCCTTAAACCATAGAAATGTTATCTTTGCCATTTAAAAGAACATATTAAACTTTTATCTTCATAGTGTTTTAAGACTCCAAAGAGTTACTAACCCTATAATTATGTCATGTTCTGCATTTTGTCGGGTTCCTCTGGGTTTCACCAAAACACATTGATACAACTTGTTGGGGCTGGACACATTGTGAGGGTAAACTAACAAACCCATGAATAAAACACAGTGATCCTGTCTAAACTCAAACTGGCAGCCCCTGATCCAGAATCCAGATAGCAAAGCATAGACTGTAATGGAAAGATTTTGTAAAAGTTTGAGTCAGCACTCAGCCAAAGTGTTGCATCTATTCCTGAAGCCACTAGGAGTGTTGTTACTCCCCCCTGAATGGGATGCTAGTCCATTGCAAGTCCTCCCCAGCATTTTAATGGGTTTTTGTAACCCATTTGCACTCCTGGGTGGAGAGAGGAAGTGCGAGTATAAAGTGTATTGCCAAACAACACACTGCTATGACCCACCATGATGCAAACCCAAACATCACTACCTTCAGTCTAGTGCACTAACTGTTGAGCCTTTCCATTTCCTGTATTTGCCACTGCATCTGCCTCAAAAAGTGTGCTATTCATACTTTTAAAACTAGACATTTCTACTGACTCAAATTATTCCGATCTGATTTCCAACCTTAATTTCTAGGAAGTTTGTGAAGGCCGAGAGCATCCTTGTTAGATAACAACACTTACTAAATTACTCCCCTTTGATGACTCAAATCTTAGACCTTATAATTTACTTCTCAAAGTGCTTCATGTTACTTACATCTGAATTTATCCAACATGGTCTTAACTCTGTTGGTTCACAAAGAATCCACATTTGACAAGTTGTTCATGATGACTTCTGCAATTATTGAAAACATATTCCTCCAGTTTACTGGGAATGTTCAATCTGCACTCTATACCTAAAAACAATCAAATACTTTTTTTTATGGTTTAACTCCATGGCTATTGCCAGTGTTGTGGATAAAATATGTATTGAAAAAGAAAAAGCTTAAGGTGGTGGGTATAAAGTGGTTTCAGTATTTCTAAACCCAGATTTTTTGATAGATCAATATTTACATACCTTCCTGTGTTCTCAGTTATTTTTTTAAACATTTCTTAATTAACTTCTCACCATGGCAGCTCTTAAGACTCTTATGAAAACGTCTCTAATGTTAGAGTTATATGCCTGACCCAAAGACAAGTCAAGTGATCCCACATGCAAGACACACAGCAAAGACTAGAAGACCACTACTTGCATGCTTGTATGGTGGTACTATTGTGAGTGCCTCTTATTAATTAAAATGGAGTAATTCTGGCCTGTAAAGTGAATGCATTGAAAATGCAAAAAAAAAAAAAAAAATGGTGCATGTGTTTATAATGCTCATTTAAGCTTGCTGCTATGCAACCGACAGTCCAAAATCATAGACATGTATCATCATTAAGTTCAACAGCAAAGTTAATAGATAACAGTATGTGGGACTCTGGTTAGGTGTCTTTTAAATTTGTTATCCAGTTCTAAGAGATCATTCTTCTGGGTGATTAAAAGCCTATAAAAGTAGGGCAAAGGAGAGACAAGGTACAGGTAGGGATGTATTGCATTTAAATAATAATAATATAATAATAATACCTTTATTTATTACCTTTGGCGATAAGAATTACGGTAATATTACTAAAAAAAATTCAAAATTCAAATTCAAAACTTCAAAACACAGCAAATATTATGTATACAATTAAGTTATGTCAAATTAAGTTTGTTTGTGCCTTCTAGTGCGTGATGCAGGTATTCTGATGTGCGCTGGGTTCTTCTTATTAGAAGATCTTAGGTTATGGCCATGATCCGCTGCCATGTCTAAAAAACGTTTACAAAGAAACAAAGATAAATAATGGATGGGGGATTAGGGAAGTGGAAAGGCAAAATCTTCAGTCAACAACTTTGGGTTGGTGCTACTTGGAACATTCACTAATGACGACCTGCATAATATAATTTGTGGATTTAGGTTTCAAATAGGTATTCCAGGAATTCAGTAAATTAATGACACTTAAAATTGAGCTTTAATTTATTTTATTAGCATACCAAGAAGTTCTGCAGTTTTTTGAATAAGTTCTTTTGCCACCTCAACGCTTTTCTCACTTGATACCAGAACCTCCAATTCACCAACTTGATACCCAAAACTTGCCTGATCTAAGTCAACTACGACTCCGTCCGGCATCTTATAGACAGTTCTATTCGTTGTAAAACATGCAATCTGTTTGAAGGAACTTCCCTGTACCATGTCCTCGACAGACTTGTAATCTCTGCCAATGTTCGGATAAAGAGAGAGCAACCTCTTAATAATTTCATTTAAAATCTCATTTTCGTCTTCTATCTCGCGGTTGCTTTCGATCCACCGCTCATTTTTCAGTTTCTGAATTTTTAGTTCCCATTTGTTATTTCGTTTCCGCAGCCAGTGACCGTTGAGCGATAGTTCATGGTTTGGTGCGTCAAAGTAAACATCAGTAAAAGTAGTTTGTGGCATAAGTTTTGCTCCTTTCAATTTTAGAACTTTCTCAAAGTCTGGTGGTACACGAAATTTGCTTTCTACTTCGATCATTTGAGATGAAGATAAGGGACTTCCGCTCACCCACTCTGCTGCCATGTTTGAAATCGACCTCGCAAACGTTTATGGGAATGCTATCGTCACCCACTCCTCCCCTCCCCTCCTCGACAATAATTATTCTCGAAATAAAGTCGTTAAATGTTCATTGTTACTGAAATACTAATGAAATCATTCTAAGATTAGTCGATTTAAAAAAGAAATGTACTTTTGGTCGTGATAACTGAGAAATTAAAGTCATATACTTACTTCCAGTAACTTGGAAGGATGTGGTATCAAATTTTTCTAAGTGGGGGAGCTACAGTTAAGTTCTGCTCGTATGGGAGTGTGGAGCTCTATCGGAAGTAACAGTTGAATGTTCATCCAATTAACTGATATTTCCTCGTGGTTTGACACTGTCTTTCTAAGTTTTCTGCTTCGTTAATGATTTCAGAGATGCTTGGTAGGATAATCTTCATTACTAGGCGGTGAAACGCCGAAGAATTTGATTTGATCGAGCGATCCAGGGAAATTTTCATGCTGTCGTTGGAGGGTTGTGTCTGCAGCAGGTTCTGAACTAAGCGTGAACCCCGGAAAGCGCTTCAAAAAGCCTTTTTCTGGATAAGGGGGACGGCTTGCGATTATGTCTGTACGTAGTGGTCCAGCACAGGTGAAATTGGCCGTCGAAAGGGAAGGTCAACTTCCCTTGCTTACAACTTTTGATCAGGTTCGTAAGGAACAAGCATTGTTAATTAGGTCTCAAGTTGTCTTGACAGTTTTTAAATTAAATGTCTCTATGAGATATCATTCATTGGTTGTTTATGCGTTAAAAAGTGCCCATTATTTTGAAAACAACACCAGTAATGATCTCTCATTTTGTTCAACAGAGTCGACCATTAGACGAAATTATAAGAGAAATCTGCTCGAAGTAAGTAACCGATGTAAACAGAAGTTACATGTAGGTTGTACCCAAACAATGATCATTTTACGCCGAATATTTAGCTTGTATAGTTTCATAGAACTTTACTTTTTAAAGTCTATACGATGACATTTATCTCTGTGTTGATTTCCTCACTCTTTAAATGGCCTAGTGAGTACTAATCATTAATCAGGGGTATTTACATGCATGTAATTGTAACGTGAGTGGGCAGGTAAATTGCTATGACCTCTAGATGTATGATGAAACCTCAGATCCTCTTATAAAAACCATTTTATAATAGCCAAATTTCGATATCCATGGTTCAATGGTGAGTTACGATAACACAGGGTTTAGGTACAAATCTAATTTCAGGTCTAAAAGCTTTAAAAGAAAATTCAGTTTAATTCTACTTGTTGATAATTTGATGATTGGATGTTCCTAAAGGAAGAGAGAAAATGATCCAGAAGAGGCTTTTGAGCAAAGTGAAAAAGAAACCGGGATTAAGACTTAACCTTAGATTTATGCTAATTGGCCTTGGAACAACTGGACCCAGGTCTCTATCTCTTGACACCCTTGCACAAAATAAGATACTTATTTATTCCACGAGCGCGCGTTGGATATGAGATGATAGATGGCCAACAAGGCGCGTAGTGCTGAGTTGGCTATAATCATCTCATATCCAACAAATGCGAGTGGAATAATTGTTTTATTGAAAATGCTACATTAAATTATTAAATTTTATTACACTTTTAGCTCCCTTTCTATTTTAAGCTTATGCGTATGCTTACTAGGGCAAAGGAGAGACAAGGTACAGGTAGGGATGTATTGCATTTAAATAATAATAATATAATAATAATAATACCTTCATCTATTACCTTCGGCGATAAGAATTACGGTAATATTACTATAAAAAAATTCAAAATTCAAAAATTCAAATTCAAAACTTCAAAACACAGCAAATATTATGTATACAATTAAGTTATGTCAAATTAAGTTAAGTTTAGCATCTCTAGCAATAAACGATTGTTTGTGCCTTCTAGTGCGTGATGCAGGTATTCTGATGTGCGCTGGGTTCTTCTTATTAGAAGATCTTAGGTTATGGCCATGATCCGCTGCCATGTCTAAAAAACGTTTACAAAGAAACAAAGATAAATAATGGAT